CCTCCTCCTCCGCCTCCTCCGCCGCCTCCTCCTCCTCCTCCTCCTCCTCCTCCTCCTCCTCCGCCTCCGCCCCTCCTCGCGCCACGCGGCCTCCCGATCCTCTCGCGGTCGCCTCCCGGCAAGCTCTGTGTTTTCCTGAGCAAGAAAGAAAATGTGCCCCATATCTTGCAATCCACCCCGATAACAACCACCCCGGCACGCGAAGCCGTGTAGTAAACGCACCCAAAGAAGGAATCAAACAGGCCAAGGCTGTTTGGTAAACGCCCAGGGCCGTTCAGGAAACGCCAATTGTCCAGTCCGGGTGGTTTTTCCTCCCTTGATGCAAGGACTACTGGGTGGACGCGCGACGGGACGTGCCAGGGGTGCGCCAGGGGATGCGCCAAGGGACAGTGGACGCGACGGGGGTCGCAGTATGGACGGTCTAACAATACGGAGCGTGCCAAAGGGGGCGTGTCAGGGGACGTCCCGCGACAGACGGCGCGCCATGGGGCGCACGGGGAGACGCGCCACGGGACGTGCCAGGGGAAATGCCAGGGGACGTGCGACGTGACATGGGACGCGCCACGAAACGCGGCGACGTGCCAGGGGACGTGCCATGGGACTTGTCAGGGGACGTGTCGAAAGACGCTCCAGGGAAGGAGCAGGGGACACCAAGGACGTGCCGCAGACGCGCCATGGGACGTGCCGGCTAGACGCGCCAGGAGACGCGCCATGGGACGTGCTGGGGAACATACTAGAAGACGCGCCGCAAACGCGCCAGGACGTGCCAGCGGACGTGCCAGGGACGCTCCAGGCGACGTGCGACGAGACGTGCCAGAAGACGAGCAAGGGGACGAGCCACCCAAAGCCCGTTTCGCCAATTTCTTCGGCGTGGTCCCAGGATTCTGCCTCCCCGCGATCACTTGTAGATTACGCTGGCTCCGCGCTCACAGGGCCAGGCCCCTTTGCAAATCAACACGAATCCGCACTCCCAGCGCCACGACCCCTCACAAAGTACACTGGATCCGCGTTCGCCGATCCCCTTTCAAATTACTTCGCGCTCGCAGGGCCACGATCCCTTGTACCTTGCGCTGGGTCTGCGCTACTAGGGCCTCCTGAGACCTCCGGACCCGGCATCTGTGGAGGATTCCGTGCGAGGAGCGCGCCATCCTCCAGCCAGCTCCAACGGAATCAACTTTTTAAGCTGGTCGTCAAAGTTCTATGCTACGGGGCCTCACTTTTTGTAGAGTGCTCTGCACAAACGCCCCTGGACCCCTCGTTTACTGTGGAAGAAGGGTCTCCCGACCCAGATGTGTACAGTAGGAGCTCGACCACAAGAAACATTCAACAAGAAACCCAGCCCTGAGATCCCAGGACGTTAACTGATTGATCTTTGGAATGGCAAGGTCACGCTTTCCGCAGCAAGACCATCGAAGCCCAGAAACCTAAGAAGCCCAGGGCACCCTGGAGGCAAGCAGTGTGTCCTGGCATGGGCGTCCACTGCCTCGAGGGCCCGACGCGGAGGGCACGCTCTGCTCGCCGAGAGAGCACGGACGGGGTGCACCTTTGCACAGCATGCGAGCCCGCACCGCGCCCTCCCTCGAACGCGGCCCCCCGAGTCCCGAACGTGGCACCGGGGACAAGATATGCCCAGCCGACGGAGCCCGCGCCCTCTCCGGGAACACTGCGGGCGCCGCGCTCCCGTGGCCACGGCCTCTTCTGGAACCGCGCAGACCCCATCCTCCTCCTCCTCCTCCTCCTCCTCCTCCTCCTCCTCCTCCTCCTCCTCCTCCTCCTGTGAAAAGGTGTGGGCCCACCCGCGCAGGGCCAGGGCCCCTTGCAGAACACGTTGGGCCCCGTCGGCCCAGCCATGCAGGCCGCCAGAGGGGGGGCCGGCGACAGCGAGGGAAGGCCTCCGCATGTACATGCGTGTGCGCAGATGGAACAAATCGGAAGGAGGAGAGGAAGTGAGAGAGAGAGAGAGAGACAGACAGACAGACAGACAGACGGACAGACAGACAGACAGACAGACAGACAGACAGACAGACAGACAGACGGACAGACAGACAGACAGACAGACAGACAGACAGACAGACAGACAGACAGACAGACAGACAGCCAGACAGACAGACAGACAGCCAGACAGACAGACAGACAGACAGAAACAGAGACGCAGAAACAATGAGAGAGATAGAGAGAGAGATAGACAGGTAGAGAAACAGAGAGGAGAGAAGAAGGACGACGATGACGACGACGACGAGGGCCTCCAGGAGCCACCGAGGGCTACCGAGGGCCTCCGACGGCCTCTTGGGAGGCCTCTTGAGGGCCAGACCGTTCCCCCCTGGGGGGCCACCGGCAGCGGGGCGGCAGCCGCGCGGTGATGCGCTCCGCGCAGAAGAGGCACACGCGGTAGCCGCACTGGCACGCCTGGGCGGCCAGGTCCGTGTCGTCGAGCGGCTGGGCGCCGGGCGCCGACAGTGAGGAGGAGGGAGGAGGAAGGACTTGAGGGCGGGAGGAGGGAGGAGGGAGGGAGGGAGGAGGAGGAGGAGGGAGGGAGGAGGGAGGAGGGAGGGAGGAGGGAGGATCTAGCTCTGGGGCGCCTTAACCCTGCTGGTGTAGTGGGCCCAGTTTCCTGGTGCCGCCACCCCGGAGGGCACGTGAGGGCACGGTGGCCCGACGGAGCAAAGCGGCCACGCAGCACAGCGGCCTGACGCAAGCGGGATCTGGCCACCGGCTGGGCTGCTGGACTTGGCACGTCTTGTCCATCAGTGCGGGCTGGCGATCCCCGGCCGCCCATCCCATGCGAGGGGAGAGGGGGCGGGACACTCACCGGTGACAATCATTGCCCCGGGGTGGCGACCCCGAATTCCGGCGCTGGCTGGCGGACACGGAGCTCTTCGACGACGCCAGCCCAAAGAAAATCCGCCGATCTGGCGTGTGATTCTCTGAGAGCGTGGACTTGAGCTCGCTCAAGCTTCGCTCTGAAGGTGGGGGGGGACGCCAGTCCCGACGACATTCAGTGTCTGAGAGCGTGGACTTGAGCTCGCTCAAGCTTCGCTCTGCAAGGGGAGGGGGGGGGGGACGCCATTCCCGACGCCCCATTCAGCGCTCGGGAGCCAGGGGGGGGTCGCTCTGCAAGGGGGGGGGACGAGGGGGGGGGGGACGCCATTCCCGACGCCATCCAGTGCTCGGGAGCCGGGGGGGGGGTCGCTCTGCAAGGGGGGCGGGGGGGGCGCCATTCCCGACGCCATTTCCGACGTCGTTCTCAGTGCTCGGGAGCCGCGGGGGGCGACCTCGACCTGCAAGGGGGCGGGGGGGAAGTGCTCTCGGGAACGGGGAAAGGTTCGCTCTGCAAGGGAGGGGGGGAAGGGGGAGCGGGCGCCATTCCCGACGCCATTCGGTGCTCGGCAACGGGAAGGGGGGTTTCTCTGCAGGGGGGAGGGGGAGAAGCTCGCCATTCCCAACGCCACTCAGTGCTCAGGAACGGGAGGAGGGAGGGGGGGCCGCTCTGCAGAGGGGAGGAGAGGGGGGGGAGGGGAGGGGGGGCATTCCTGGCGCGCTGCTGCCGTGCTGCTCTATGGATTTGTTGCCCTATCGATGGCCCCCCATAAGCCTGTGGTACCCACCGAGTGCCCTATGGCCCATGGCTGGCACCCTACGGCTGGCGACCCAAGATGCTCCAGTTGTCGCGTTTTCTGGTGCCCGCACGTGTGCCCTGCGGCATGGTTGGTCACCTATGATGTCCCCGTGGTCACCCTGGCGCCACATGGCTGGTGACCTGCGGTTGGTGCCCCGTGGCGGCCTGGTGCCACATCGGGCCTCATTTGTCGCGCCGTGCTGAAGCTGTCGTGGTTTCTGGCTCCTGCCCTGGGGCTCTACGGCTGGCGCCCGGTGGCTAACGCCCCACGCTGCGGCAAATGTTCCGGCGTCTGGCAATCACCCTGGCGCCCTGTGCGCTTCTCCTGCCGGCCGGGAATAATGTTCTGACTGACGCTGGCGTGGCGCGCGCAGCGACCCAGAGCCTGCGGCCTGTGACAGGCTGGCGACACACACGTGGCAGAACCAGCCCTCTGATTAGGGAACCCACGACGGACGTACGCGCCCAGGTATGCACAAGAACACGGTTCCTCGATCCGCGAAACGGGCCGCGTGATACGAACATTCGCGCAATGCGTACTCTCGAAACCAACGTGAAGCCATGTACGTGTACGACCTTTTTTCGCTCCTGACTGATCGAGTGTGCACAAGCGTACAGCCTGGGAGCCAGGAGGTCTGAGATGGCGAGGAGCGGCGCGAGCCTTGGGCAATCAGCACCGACGTCCCCGAGGAGGAGGAGGAGGAGGAGGAGGAGGAGGAGGAGCAGGAGGAGGAGGAGGAGGAGGAGGAGGAGGAGGAGGGGAAGGAGGAGGAGGACGAGGGGGGGGGAGGAGCAGGAGGAGGGGGAGGAGGAGGAGGAGGAGGAGGAGGAGGAGGAGGAGGACGAGGAGGACGAGGTGGAGGAGGAGGAAGTGGCAGAGAGGCCGCCTGCCCGAGACAGGGCGGCACGGCCGGCAGCACGCGACAGCCATCGCCACTGCGCGTACCGCCCGCCAGACCTGCACGTCGGGAGATCAGGAACCCACCGCTCGTACGGAAACGGCGCTCGAACACCTGAGCATCTGAAGCTTTTCTGCCTCCTCCGCCGCCTCCCCCTTGAGGCGCCCGCTGCGGCCGCGGCAACTTTTTAGTTGCTATTTCTGCCCACGCGTCCTTCATGGATGCACGGCTTCTTGTCTTGTCTTGTCTTGTCTTGTCTTGCAACACACCATGGTTGGATTCCCTTCCGGCCCCGCTCAAACTTTTGGTGCGCGGGCGCGCGGAAATGGGTCGAACGCCGGGCTAGCAGGGGCAGGCTACGCCACCGGCGGCGGGAAAGAAGCGACGAGCAGCGCCAGGGGCGGGGCGGAACTCAGGCGACCGAAACGGCGCGAGGGCGACGGAGGTCACGCCCCGCTCAAACGCGGCACGGTGCGTAGTTGCTT